TTCAGATCATCCAGCACTGAGTGCGGACGTCCCAAAGTTGAACACTGCCAGTGCTGCTATTGGAGACAATAGCACGTTTCCCATCAAATCCAGCACTGCGTGACAATCAAGAGTAGTGCAGTGCACGTGGACAGAAGAGGCACTGGCGAGGACGGGCTCATGAAGAGGGATCCATCATTCTTTGGAGCTGCAGCTCATTAAGCGGCGCTGAAAGGCGCTATTTTGAGAAAGAGGCGTTTGATAGCCACTGAACTGATCCAGTCTGAGCAGGCCTCCCCGTGCTGCCTCAACTCTCCTCTGAATAGTTCCAGATGATGGTAGAAAAATAATCAGTTCTTGGTCTTTAAATAGTAATTTGACGGAATGTACATTTGGAAAGCAAATGTTATTGAAGCCTGAGATACGAGCTTACTATGAGCATTTCAATGTGACTATTGAAAAGCTCTCTAGTGGGGTCTAGACCACAGTGTAAAAATGTAGACCGTCCATAAACTACATGTAACTGTGACTGAACCATACAGTTACTGTGATCTCAGCAACTTCCCAGAATCTGTGTAATTTCTCTTCCTCACAGCTTCACTCCTGGTTACTGGTCCTTAAGTTTTCTGTCTGCTCAGGGAATATTACAGGTCAGGTGGCAAGGTGCTCTTGCTCATCAATCAGTTTCTGGCTGTGATTTTTATCTCCTTGCAGCAGAGAGGATTATCAACTTTAGGAGAGTTCTAACCACTTTGAAAATCCTGATGTTTGTTTTCTGCAGTCTGTGATACATGCCCATAGGTACTAACATGGCTGATTTTTTTGGATTGCATTTCCTTTTCTTGCAGTTCAGTGGCAAAGCTGTTGGTTACAAGCACATTCCCAGCAACCCCCTGGAAATACATCTCAGGCAAGTGCTCCTATTTTGATTGTGGTTATGAGGATGAGGAGGGTGAGGTCGCTCTGGGTTTGTTTGCCAGTGGAGGCTGGACAGATAATAGCTTTCCAACTACTTCCTGACATGGGCTTTCCTGGTGCTGCTGCATCTCCATGCCAGGCTTTGCAGCCAGTGGTCATTGGGATCTCTCAGCTCCCACCCATGAACTTTGAACTCTTCCTTCTCTCAACCCAACTCAGTTTTTATGCAGCAGCAAAAGAGGGCTTTCTGCTTCCACCCTGATATGCAGCACAGTGGAACTCTTCCCTCTTCCCCCTGCCCTATGAAGTGAGTCCCCACCACCCACCGTTCTGGCATGTATCTCACTTCTCACTGCTCAGCACTTTCCTTATTGTGACCAGATGCTCAGGTGCCTTCTTCTCTGTGCCTTAAATAGGTTTCAGCATTTGTTCCAGCTCCCCGCTTGCCGTTCCTATCGATAGAACAATAAAGGAAGCACTGGTTGAATTTCAACAATCCAAGGGTGACAGCACATCTGTGTCAGTAACAGGGGCAAGAGGGAGGTAAGATTTCTGTATTTGTGATGAATATTTGTTCTGGTGTGATCCAAGCTGTAGGGGCAGTAAGTGAAGGCTCTACCACTAAAAGCCCGAGATAAAATTTCCCTGTTCTATAGTTCAGTATTTCATATTTTCAAATGCCATGAGTTAGAACTCATGGTTTCATAGTTTCCGGCCTGTTAGGAACAGTATGCAGCTTTGAAGGGACTTGCTTAGCTCCTCCAATCTGCATCACACGTTAATTGACTCCTTTATCATCTGAGAAGCCAAGGGCTCCAGGTGACATCTGAAACTCTCACCCAAGCAAAGATTGTCCTAGCAGGCCAGCGTGCAGGAAGCTTGCTCTGCTGCTTCCTGTACCCTGAGCTGGAGGATGGGAGTTTGTGTGACTCTCAGTCTGTTCTTGCATAATCCTGGGCTTATTGGTAATGTGATTTTTCACATTTGTGTGCAGCACTGTATTTTCATTAAAGTAGCACCACATATAGGTGCACACAGAGGTGACGAAATCCCTTAAGAAATAAGTGAATCTTTGGCTGCTTCGCCTGCATTCTCCCTGCCACATCTACTCCCTTTGCATCTACGCCAGGTCTTGAGCAGTATTCGACAAACATTGTTAAAAAAAAGAGAGAATTTCCCTCAGAAAGTGTTCTCCCTTTCCCTGGCAGGTGGGTTCCCTGTACCCCCTTTGAAGGTACTGTGCAGCCAGTGATAGAACAGTGCAGATAGAGCAGTCCTGGTCCCAAAGTGTTCTGAAAACCTGCCTAGAGAGGACCGTGTGCTAACGTGGAAAGCATTGCCATAATGTCAATCATAAATAATGGCCATGATAGTTTCATACCATTAGACAAGGATAATTCCCAGCCTCCTGCACTTAATTCTTGGAAGACTCTCAAATAAAATATAATTACTTTGAAGTTCTCTAGATACCAAATTGCCACTACATTTTGAGGACTTTGAATCTTCCTCTGAGTTCAGTACCTGTGACTCCTGGAGCCAAGTGTTAGAAATGTTTAGGAACCTGCCCTTGCACACAGCCACACGAGAATTCACATTCTTGTTTTGGGTTATGTGTTTGATGAGGTCTGGATTCGAGACAGCACTAACTTTCTCATTTCAGGTTAAGCATTTTTTCATTCAAAATGGGACTATAATAGTTGCTAAAATGATGTGCTGAAAAACTGCTTCAAGCAAGTGTGATATTAAAGAGTTTTACAGACAGTTTCAAAGGTAACAAGCGTGGTCCCCAAGCAATGATTTTAAAAACTTATCTGTATCTTAGGAATCATCTGCCCCATGTATAGTCTGGACATCAGTGGCCTGGGGAGTGCTAGGCAGAGGTCTGAGCACCGGGATGTCTGCATGCTTCTGTCATCGTGCAGCAGTTTGTGCCAGGCAGCCTGACTCAGTCTTTGCACCTGATCATTTTCTTTCTTAGCTGCAGAAGTGATGAAGGAGCATTCTGCTGCTTGGATGCTCTGCAGTGTTCTCTTCCCACCTCAGGGCTCTAAGAGAATCTTATTTGTGTCATCAAATAAGGCAGCACTTCTTAGAGAATAACCCCAGAAAGACCAGGAAATAGAGTGTGGGTATTTTCTGAGAGCAGGCTAAACAGTGTAGCTGAAAGAGGACGAGCAGCTTGATTCCTTGAGCACGTCCTTTATTGCTCTGTCATTCTCTGGGAGCATTAAGGGCTGTGTTGAAGAAGCCGCATCAGTTTCAGATGTTATGCACCTCATTAATCAAAACACATCCTTTTGGAAGGCAGTTGATTGCAGCTTAGGCACAGAAGTGCATCCCTAGTGCCTCAATAGGAAAAAGTAGAGGAAAATGACCTTTAATGCGATCGCTGGCTTAGTTCACAACATCTCATCTGCATTTGAAAATCAAGATTTATTTCCCCAGAAAAGCAGACCTTGCAATTGAAACAACAATATTAAGTCATACTTGTACCAGGTAGCATCTCTGTAGAGTATTTCAAACGAGTCACGGCCAGTCCAGGTTGTGCTTGGAGGTGATAGGAGAAGAGGAGCAGGTGAATGCTTCAGAGCAAGGATTGGAGAGAGAACAGGCAAACAAGGATGAAGAAGCAGGTGCTGCCTGTGGGCACGGCGCAGTCACTGCTGATGGCTGCGTTCCCTTAAGTGAGAGCTAAGTAGCATCCTGCTGCTTTAAATGGCACGGTTACCTTAGGCTGATAGCAAGGGACTCCTGGGGGAGGAACGGGGAACGGTCGCTTGTGGAAGCACAAGCACAGCTGTTCTCAGGGAGACGGTGAGGATTTCCTCACTGCTTGCAGTGGACACTCGCTGCCTGTGCTTCTCTCTCTGCAAAGTGCACGTGGCTTCCTTCTTCGGGGAGCTATGATTTAAATGTATAAAACAACAAGCTGCATCTACTGAGCCTATGCAAACACTCTCTTACATGGCTAAACGGATTCTTAATTGAACTCCGCTGGTTTCAAAGGCTTTACATTAGGAAATAATTGGACTCGGTTTATCAATCTAACGCTTCTTAAGCACTAGGGAATAAACAGCCGTTCCCAAAGAAGGGCAGGGCTCGGCTGATTGCCACGTCTTTTCTTCCTTTTCTCCCTTTTCTCCCAAACGGCGAAAGGCAGGCAGAAGCCCTCTTTTAGCCATTCTCCTCGGCCTCTGCTACACGCGCTGCGCCGGAGCAGCGGCAGGAGGGAGGATTCCCAGCGGATCTCCCTGCCCGCAGGAGCGGCCGGGGCCGGGCGCAGGAAGCGCTGACTCAGTGCCCGAGCGAAGTGGGCTTCCCCGTGTGCCGTGCGAGAACCCACGCCTCGCATCCCGCACGGCCCTGCCCTGCCCGGCCCCCTCGTTACGGTACGGGAGCCCTTGGAGATGCTGCTTGTCTTTTTGAATGACTTTTACGGCTCCAGCCCCTCAGGGGAGAAGTAGTAGCGTTTCGCACGTCTAACGGGAGAGCACGCAGCGGAGGAAGAGAGGCTTTCAAACCTTGGGTGGTGAAACACACGGTGGGCTTCCAGGCAGGCAAACTTCTGCCGGAAAAGACGGGCGTTCCCCAGCTCCCTGCTTTGCATGCGAGTGCGATTTTCAAGGTGAACCGATACTTTTCCTTTAGATTGGGATTCGCCCCTGCCCACAAACCCCCCGTGTCTTCGCCAGAAAACCTGCGGCAAAGCAGCTGCAACTCCAGAAGGAGAAAGGCTCGTCAGCGTGGAAGAGAAAAAGGAATCTCGCTCCTCTTATTTTTACGACGCTGCTATTTTTAAATTACCACCGCTGCGCTGCCCGCAGTTCTCGCTGTTACACCACATTAAGCCGGGCTCTCGCTCGGGCAGCGCCGAGGCGCGGCGGGCTGCTGGGCAGCGCAGTGCCCTCCTGGTGCAGCCCCGCTGCGCTGCGCTGCGGCGAGCGCTGACAGCCACACGCAGCCTCGGCAGCCAGACGTTGCCCTTTTAAGAAGCCCGGGTGCTGGCTCAGGTAGGCAGAGCCTGAGTGCAGTAGTCGCTCCTATGGCAACCCACAGAATGGGATCGCTTCATGAATATTCCCAGGAGCAGGGGCTGCATGAGGAATAAGTGATGACAGTGATGTAAGCAAGCAGTGGCCGCTGCAGGTTGCAGTTCATTGTGTTACTGGCAGGCAGGTTGAGGAGTTTGAGGTACCCGGGCTTGCGTTTGGCTTTCTGGAGGATGACTGCCCGCCCGGAGACGCGGCACATTTGCATCTGGAAGCCAACATGGCAAGGCTGCTGCCGCTGCCGCCCTGCCTCGCCTTCCAGCCAGGAGTGCGCGGCTGTCCTCTAGACTTCTTGCCCGGTGCGCTGGATCTGAGCAGACAGGGATTGCAGTAGCACTCACCAAGGGGAGGCAAGCAGCAAGTAGCCAAATCGGGACGAGGGAGGAGAGGGGGGGGCTTTTTCGCCTTCCCTCCTTTTTTTTTTTTTTTCTCCTTTTTTTTTTTTTTTTTTTTTCCTTCCGTTCTGGATGCGGAGCCCGTGCTTTGATGCAGAGCCTGTGGATGCCACAGCCTGGTAAGGAGATGACACGCCAGTCTCTGGTCCCTCCTGCCCCTTGAGCCGGGGGCAGGGGCCTGGGGCAGCGCCGCTCCGCTCCTCGCGCACTGCCGGGGTCCCTCCCTCCACCTGAGCAGCAGCAGCAGCGGCCATGGACAAGCTGCCCCCCTCCATGCGCAAGAGGCTCTACAGCCTGCCCCAGCAGATAGGACCCAAGGCGTCGATCATGGACGAAGAGGAAGACAGCGACAAGGACACCCGGAGGAAAAGCATCAGGCTCAAGCCGCTGCCTTCGCCCTCTGCTGGGAGCACCCGGGCGCTCGGGGGAGACCCCGGCAGAGGGGAAGACCCCGGCTTCGTAGAGACGGAGGCGGGCAGCAAAGGTGCCAAGACCAGCACCAACGGGGACTGCCGCCGCTTCAAAGGGAGCCTGTCCTCGCTGACCAGCAGGCACCTCCACGACGCGGCCGAGGAGAAGAGGCTGATCGGCGGCGAAGGGGAGCCGGCCTCCCCCGGCGAGGACAAGAGCCCCTCCGGCAGCGGGGAGACGCAGGGACTGCCGGCACCCCCGCCGCCAGCTTCCCCCCCGGAGCCCCAGCAGCAGCCCCTCCGGGCTTGCTCCTCTACCTCTATCAAAGTGGAAGGAGGTGGAGGGTGTGACCAGATCACCCCAGATGAGGAGCAGAGGCTGGGCCAAACCGGGTTCATGCAGAGGCAGTTCGGGGCCATGCTCCAGCCGGGGGTCAACAAATTCTCCTTGAGGATGTTTGGCAGCCAGAAGGCCGTGGAGAGGGAGCAGGAAAGGGTTAAGTCTGCTGGGTTCTGGATCATCCACCCCTACAGCGACTTCAGGTACCATCTCCCCTTCCCGGCCCGCTCAGAACTACCTGGCCTGCCCCTTCCCCTTCCCTGTCCAGCTCAGACCTCTGCACACAGCACACGCCCAGAGATAACTTTCCTTGCCAATTTCCTAGTAAGAGGAGTGGGAGGACACGTTCAAGATCTACTCCAGTCAAACAATCTGCAGGTTTCATTTCTATTTGAGCTTAGTTTCGGTATCCTCATACTGTTAATTAATTTTCGGTGGTATTTTTAAACCAACAGATGTCTCTCACTCCAGCTTTTTGTAGGGAAAAGCCTCTTCGTAGTCCAGTGTAAATGGGTAGAATGTTCACACCTGATGCACAGTCTGTAAGACACGGTGTCTGCAGCTTAACTACCACATCTCCAGCTCAGACCCTAGGGTCTGCCTGAGTAATGTTTCCTTGCCTGTTTTAACACCTCAGAGTCCTCCCCCTTCTCCTTCCCAAGAGTTAGGGAATGATGCTGCTATTGTTCTGTGCTGCTCCTTACCGCAGCATCACTTGTCAGAAATTGCTGTGTGCAGAGAAGAGCAGCATTCATTGCTAAAGACTTTTGGAATCTTACAGACAAAGGTTTTCTATTTTGCATCTGCAGATAACAGTCTGCAAAACTGATTTGGATAGGGAATGGTAAACATTGCCTTTGTGAGAGGGGTAGCTTTGCTTTCACTCAGATAGCAGCATTTCCAGGAAGGTTAATAAGGAAATTAACTTGTAAACAGTGAAGCCAATTTCTGTATTTCAATCATTCAGCTGACGGGGTTGCATTTAGGTATTTCTATCTAAGTATTGTCTACTGCACAGGTGAATTGTCCTCTGCAGTATGTATGTAAAGTACTGCAATCAATAATTAATTACTTAGTGCAATCAATGGGTAAGGTCTATCACTTCAACTTTAATTACAACTGGCTTACATCTTACATTTAAAAGCACACAGTAGAAGAACATTATTCAAACACATTTCTATCAAACTAGATGATTTTATTGAATTCTTGGATTCTTAAAGAAACACTGCACGATTCCCTAGAATACAATTAACATGAGAATTGTAGGAAGGAGTTGCAGGATGGATTTGGGTGCCCAATGACAGAAGGCACTTGGCACTGCCTTTCGGGATTTAAGCCGCAGTTCACACACTTAGAAGATCCAGGACTGGCACTGAACAGATTCCTTGATACTTGCTTGGATTAGCAAACATTATTAGAAGGCTGTATGAATTGGAAGGCTGCACTGTCGATTAAATTTAGTGCAGTCAAGTGTCCCAAGTGTACAGCTGACTGAGCAGATGGGGGTTTCCTGTAGCTAAATCGTGGTACATCCTCCTAATACGATCTTATTCCAATCCAGATTGGAAAGAGTCTAAAATTCCCTCACTGTTGTTACTGGTCGATACCTCACAAGCACAGAGAAATATGGGAGTGTTGATCTTCACAAGAACAAAACCAATTTCATTCTCTTGGCTCCAGGTCTTGTGCATTTTCCACAAGCCTGGACTTAAACTGTTGTGCTTTCTTGGGTTATTTTATCAGACTGTTCTCTGAGTGTTGCATCTTAAAGGAATCTTGGATGTAGTCCCTAGAACATATTGAATTCATGCAAAAGTAGCCTTCAGTTTGTGTATCTTTCATGTACCTGTAATAATGGATTTATGCCCTTCCATGTTTAAAGTTTCCAGCATAGAACTAGGCTGTCAAACTTACTGGAAGGATTGTAGCATTAGCAGAGGTAGCCACCTTGCCCAAGGTGACATGGTCCTAAGAGTTCATTTCCTGAGGGTTTCTTGTGAACCAGTGCTCATTCTTAACATGGCACAGCAAATTCTGAGGCACGTTCTTATTTGCGAGGCGCTTCGCTGTAGGGCTGCTTACACAAAGCAATGGAATATGCAGGCAAGCTGGATTTTGCCAAGCCTGATGATCACACAGAGTCTGCTACCACACAGATGTTTGCGTGCATGCCGTTAGGTCCGTGTGCATGTGTGGCTTGGTAGTGTTAATAATAAATCTTCTGCAGTGTAGCTTTACATCTGTGCAGAGAAAGCCAAGTCCGTTGGATGTCCGTACCCTGGTGCGAGACGTTTTGGGCTTGGTGTCAGAGTCCAGGTAGGCTGGGATCTTGCTGGTTTGTGTTTCTTCTAGATTGATGCTGGAAGCCTCACGCACAAATATGTGCTTTCTCCCTACTATTCTGTATCAACGTCAGATGGGGCAGTGGTACTGATCATGCAGAGAGACATCAAAGAGGCCGGGAGCTGGGTGCACTACTGTGTGGTCAGTATGTGGATTTTCAGGAGAACTTTATGCACCCCCTTTTCTCAGTCATCTGCAGCAGACCTTCTTAAATATGACTGTCGCTTAGAGAAAAAATGACCTGTGAACAATGGCTGCATTGAAGAAGGGTGGGAGCTTTCCTGGCTTCTGTTTGTGTTTTGTGCTCTCTCCTCTGAGTGCTACTGAAGCACCTACCTTGGAAACAATTTGCATGAATACAAATAACATTTCTGACCTCCGAAATGCAGCAGATTGCACCAAAGAGCAGGTGTTATCAGAATATTTGCAAGAGCTATCTCCTGGATCCAAAGGTCTCTTGTTTTTCTGCTTTGCACATTACGCAGTGCAATGTAAGATTGCTCCCTGCTGTAGATGGGTGCAGATTCTGGAGCATTAGGATGTTCTGAGAGGCACGAGTCTCCATTACATTGCACTTTGCATAGTAATGCTGTACAGTAGCATTCGGTGCACAAGTTTCAACTTACTGAATACTCAGCCTTAGGTCTTGTCTCCTTTGATTTTGTACACATTAATTTCACCTTTGAGAGTGAGGAGCATCTGCAGGCATTTCACTAGAGCTCCAGACCTCATGGCTCCTGTCTAAGAACAGCTCAAGAGGCAAACTTCTGAGTTAAACACTGACCCAAATTAGTGGAGCTTGATTTGCTGTGAAATTACCTCTGTGTATCTCTTGTGACTTCATGGAGTTTTTTTCCTTTGTGCTGTGTGAGAGGCATTGCAGTTTCAGAACAGAACGGAGGCTTTCATCATAGTCTCGTTAAATTATCATTTTAGCATCTAATGCAGCCAATTCCAATGGAAAATCTATGGCCCTCGAAGAGGAAAGCAAGTTAATATAGATTAAGGCTCTGTTGATTTCTGCTTTTAGTCCATTGTGAGGGGAAAAAACACCGAATGACCTTTATAAAAACCAGACTCGGTGTCCCTGAGTACTCATGACTAATGCAGGGGACTAGTTCTGGAAGCACTTAAAAGGTGTCTCCGCAATTGTGATGAAAATAAGAATAGTAGTTCCTATTCTGAGCTTTAGGTGAAAGTGCTAGTTACTGTTTGCATCTGTGGTTGATCTCATATCAGTGCAGAGACAAAGTTTATTTCCTAGATCAAGATTGATCTGAGGCTCTGAGAGCTTTTTCAGTGAGTAGATAGAATTGTAATTTATTGCTTAGAGGAAGCATTGATCCAGCACAATTGGTTTAATAAAAAAATTCCAGACAAACAAAGATCTATCTAACCAATGAAACATATTGGTTGGAGCTACTATCCAGAACTGCTTGCAAAACAGTGCTGCTGTTAGGAAGGCCTGAGAACAGATACACTGCCTTAAGGACCAAAATAGTCCACTCCAAACAGTGCATGTAAATAGAGCTACGCATTATTCACTGCCCAGCAATCTATTAACTTCTTTGCAGGAAAAAGAAGCTTCTGCTTTCTTGAAAACAGTGAAAAATATTCCACTCAATAACGGTCCCAGCTTCTTAGTTTGGAATTTTTCTTTCCACTGCTCTCCCTTACTTGCAATATTTGTCTGCAAACAGAGCCTTTTGTACGTTTGCTTCTTCTGACAGAGGAGGCTTTGGGAGTCTTGGGGGCATTCCGTGGCACCAAAAGAAATGGATGTGGAGGTGCAATGTGGAAGGCAGGGGAATTTCTGCAGAACAAAACCATTTGCTCCTCTTTTTGCTTTTCTAGATCTCTAAGCAGCGTCACTCAGACTGCCTTCCTTGGGGAGCCAGTGCGATTTATTAATTACAGTACTGAACGCTGACCCCAATAGCACTGCTAGGATTGAGCAAAAAGGGAAGGGTGGCAGTTTCCCTCTCCTACCCTCCTGAACAGAAGTGATTTGCAGAGTGCTTCACGGAATGCTGCTCTGTCTGTGGAGACTGTTTTCATTCGTAACCCTTTGCTATTTTGTTCAGAGGGTAAACAGTTGGTGAACACGCAGCGTGCTCCCTGACTGGGCAGTTCACTTAGCTGGGTGTTGTGCTTCCCACACTCCGGCAGCAACGCTCCTTTCTTTTCCTGCTGCCCACAGTGCTGCTCGTGTGCCTGCCTTCGTGCCTCCCCACGGTCAAATGCCCACAATGGCAAACTCTGATCTTGTGACTTGCCCGCTGCTCTCAGCAAAGTAAAATGAAAGCTGGCTATTGTGTCACACTTATGTACTGCACACTGAAAGTCTGACTTGCCGAAACCTTTGCTTTGAGGGGAAGGCATTAATAGCAGAACCTGTGCCAGTCGTTAAGAAAAAAAAACAAACAGTGCAAATGAGGCACAAGTTTATTGGTGGGCAGCTGGTATTTTTGCCTCTCTTCTTGCTTTACAATTCTGTGAGGAAAGCACTAGCTGGAGAAGGGAGATGCTTTCCTGAAGCCAGTTCTTGCTGTCTATCCTGCAGCTAGCTTTCTTGCCAATTCCCAGGGCATCGTTGCTGGACCAGAACAAGAGGATTCAAGCAGGAATCATATGAGGGATAATCCAAATCCCGCTGAACAGCGTGACTTAGACTTCTGTTGTCTTCAGTGGACTGTGAATCAGACTGCAGGAGAGGAAACATGGTTTTGTGACCGCGAACTAAGGAAACCGAGCTAGTGCAGCCGTACTTCCTGTGTCCTTGGGCAAGTCACCACTGACTTCATGCCCTGGTTCCCATGTTGTGAGGCAGAGGATAAAAAATCCTGAGCTAGAGGATCAT